ACTAACAGCGCAACCTGCTGCTGAATATCATACAAAATTGCCTGGTGGTGGATGATATATTTTTACGTTTGGGCCTAAAACTCGACTATCGCAAAATACTGTTATATTCATTTGTGACTTCGATGGGTTTATTACTATTCAATGCTGTCTATTTGTTGGTCAGCTATATGCTTTTGCGTTCAGCAGAAATTTGGCCATCATTTGTGGTGTTTACAACATTCGCCTTGCCGCACTTGAACATCAGCATTATGGTTTTCAAATTTCTATGTACCACACATTTGACACGGACACGATTTCGCATGATGAATGAGGTAACTGAAAGTTAAAAAGCTATTTGTAAAAATATGTAAACAATAAGCAGAAGTGCTGCAATAGAAATAACAATGATACTTATGTAGATAGAAAGCTTGATATTCGGTTGAGGCATGCTCGTTACAACGCCTTGGTCATCCCTAGCTCTTTTAGGAAATCCAGTACGTTGTTTGGTGACATCGAGTGTTTGTGATTCGGTTGCGGGGTCCCTAAACCCGGTACTTCTCTCGTCTTCGCGCCACAGCATAACATTCGAGGAATATGTGATCAAAAGTTTCAGCTATCCTGTTACAGAAGCGGTATGAATCTATAGGACAGGGTCCGAATTTGTATAGGGGACTTTTTAATCTTGTTCTTTGATAGATTAGTGGGCTTGTCATAACTTTTCCTCCCAATAGCTTATTTTCCTGCCGCTTCCCAGTGCAGTTCTCTACTTGTTTTTTCTTCCATCCTCTGCTCTTCTCTGATGGTGTGTAGTCCTATTGCAAAGAAGGACTTGAGACCGATTGGTGTTGTTATTGCCACCTTCATAGCAAACCTATCTGCCACTTAATTTGCTTTTATGCCTTTGTGGCCCGGGATCCAGCGAAGGAAGACACTGTTGTTTGCTGCTAAGGCTTTTAGTCTCTCTATGCACTCGAGAACTAATGCAGACATGATTTCATGAGAATGAGGGGCGCTGAGTGCGGCTGGCCTATCGCTTAATGTTAGGATGTTGTCGTTGCGATATTTTCGCTGAAGATTAATCACTTCACGCAGATTGATGGCGTAAACCTGCACTTGGTAGTCTGCCATGGAAACTGCGATCTTAAATCCTGGACCAAAAATGCCGACTCCAACGCCCCCGCCTTAAACCGTCTGTATACCAAATTAGAGGTTACAGTTGAATGTATATATTCTTGATTTTTGTATCGTTCCAGCTTGCCTTATTCCCTAGCTCTATTTGAAAGTTCCTTTCGAAGCTAAAAACTCGATTGATATCATCCCGCGAGAACTTGATGAGCCCTGAGAGACTCCATATACCGAAATAATACCACTTTCTCTCTCCGAGATGATACCAACATTGTCGCTTGGCTGCCTGCTCTATGCCAGTATGCAGCGGCTTAAGCTTGAACTTCAGAATAACCTCCATTGCTGCCCTAGGGTAGGTGGACATTATGCCTGTGATACACACCTATTCATGACGTAATTTCGTGAATAAGCGTCTCCCAGTCACTAGGTTGACGCTCGCGCCCCAGGCCACCGTTTCGCAGGTTATCATTGGTTTGTAAAGCCTATTAAAAATCCATCTGATTAACCTAGAACAGCAGCCCCAAGATTTTCCCGCAAGTCGTATGCATACCATTAGTTCTCTTGTGGCTCTGGATGTCGTCATGTTGACGTGCTGAGAATTTTCGTGTTGAGTGTAATGCCAAAATATCCCACGTCAACTGTGACGTGTTGACAGTAGATACTTCATTTCATCCTAAACCAGGCCCGCGCGCTTTACTTCTCTATATAAGTTAGATTTGGTTAAGCAGGTGCATAGAAATGACTTGTACTTCCACTCGGAAGCCAAATTGTCCACCTCCTTCTAACCGAAGTTATTCCATATTGTCAGTATAATATCTGTTAAACCAATTGCTATCCCGGACGAAGCTGTGGAGCTCCGATATGCTTGAGACACCTTATATATGGTGAATCGATTCCTATTCTTCTTCATCCGACAACTTCTGCTGAGAGAACTTGTTGGTATACGCCATCGATGGAGCATTGGTGCTATAGTACAGTACCCTGTGATTACTCCGGAAAGAGCCCATACTTCAGATTTGTTTAGCATCAACAATTCTTCACTACGGCGGCCGCTGTGGCTGATAGGTTAGAGGTACATACCATTCCGTAGGGCATTACTATTATTATTACGACTCTTGTTAAATCTCGGCCAGAAGCATCTTTAGATCTCACAGTCGTCACGATTGGTTGATAGGGCATTAGCTAGGACTTACCCTCCTTATTAAATAAGAAATCGCTTTGCCCATTTTTATTTCCGAGGCGCTTGTAGCCATCTCAACGGCTATTTCGTTAATTTTGAGATTGTCATATCCAGGAACCCAGCAGAGAGAGGTTTTGACATGACTCAGTGAACCCAGCGAAGATCTCCGCCTGAAAGATACTGCAGTAATTAGGCAGGCACTATTATTGCCTTAGTTCCTTTTTCCATCCTCGAGCCATCGGTTTGGATGGAAATATCATCATTTAGCGACAGTAGACCGCTTTACTCAACTTTCCTTGAGGGAAGTGTCGGCTTTGTGTTGGCATTGATTCCATAAGCCATCTGCCATCCCAATCCTGCTCACGACAGCTTCTTTTGGCTTAATTGTCCTAACTCCATATACCACCGGATCACCTTTGGCTTGGTCTGTGGCCTAGCTACAGGAGAGGATAGGTCATATGTCTCAGTATCCTTGTCAGATAGTTAACTAATAGCAATACTAATAGATTGGTGATGTTGTCACACAAAGGGGAAGGACCTACATTTTTACGTCGACCGCTATTAGAAAAAAACGTTTTTTGTAATGGGTCGGAGAAGACTTTCCCAATCCTGACAGAGCTGATGATGTATAATAACCTTATTTTACAAAGGCGCATTAATGTTGTTTTTTCTTGGATATTTATCCTCGGTATCAGTTCGAGAACCATCAGGTCTTGGCAAGTAGCCTATTTCTGAGCCTTCCTCCTAATGAATTAGACTTCATCCCATTACATCGCTCTTTCCCAATCCCAGTAAGTAGTAATCCAGATGCAGTGGTCTGGTTGAAGGTTTTCGTGACGACACTTATTCCACTTCTAAAAAAATTTGGACTTTTTTCTGAAGGCCAGCACCTCAATTTGGGTTTGTTCATAGTTCTTATGATTCATCTCCTCTTTCTTATTTAACTCTCGATAACCATCTAGCATAGCATGCTTTGCTTGTGGTCGCAGCTTGGCCTCAAAAGCACAGCCTTTTTTCTCTGCGAGGGCTTGACATTTTACGTCGGAAACTAGAGTGGCTCACTTTTGGCGGTGTGTTAAATAGTGCTCTCCTAGAGCCAGAGTGAGACCGGAGTGGATAATCTTTTGGACGTATATTACGGCGTGCTCTGCGTCTATCACACTCTGATCGATTTCGCTTTTCGATCCGGTAACAACGTTGTATCCTGATGAATATTCTGTTGACAGAACGTATTGCTTCCCACTACTATGTTTTGGTTTACGGTGAAGTCGATCGGGCTGAATCCGTTAGCGCAGGTATCGTCAAGTGATCTAAATTCTCCGACAATTCTACCAAAGATACCTCCTTTGCGCATCCTAGACTTAAAGTCAAAAATAACGATTTTTATGTCGTTGCGTGGTGTGGATGCAAATAAGCGATATGTTGATGTGGATATACTCGATTCCCAAAGTTAACGGCAGTACTCGACAACGCAGTATTTCTCTTTTATAGCAGATAGGTCTATCTTTCCGTCTAATCCGTCCAATCTAATCCGTCGGCTGAACAGACGTGATGCCAGGTTACACACTGGCTGACTATCAAATCTCGCTCTTGAGCTGCTGACGTTGTCCAATGAGGGCGAGCGTGAACGCAACAGTATGAATTAATTATAGTCGAGCAACTGTTGCAGAATACCCAGATTCTTCAAATTACTACATCGCACTTCATTTGCCTAATATTAAGTATATTCCTCCAATTTTAATTCCCTTCACAGGTCCTGCAAGACATACTCGACTCGCATATCGAGGAACGTGATGCCATCGAGCTCTCGCCCATGCATTCAGTGATACGTATAGTACGCCGCCATAGCATACCACGACGACATGTAGCAGCTGTTATTCAACCAACCATCACACCACGTCCACGCTATAGCGTAACTTCGATTGTGCGTGAAAATCCTGAAACAGCGCTGAAGCAAGTGAGCCATGTACACAATTTACTCTGCGACATTTGCTGTACCATCGAGGATTATTTCAATTATCCAATGCTCGCCATTATCGCTATATCCTTCCTGTTCATTCTATTTGACGATTTCTATATATTGGAAGCAATTATAATACCAAGTCGTGTTGATAAATTTGAAGCAGATGAGTTTTTCGCATTCTTCTTTACGCAAATGGTATGGTATGTGGTGATAATACTTCTGATCGTCGAGGGCAGTAGCAAAACTATTAGGGAAAGCAATAGAACTGCAGCTATTGTACATAAAATATTGAATATTTCTGATGACTCGGCGGTGCAAGATCGCCTTTTGCGCTTTTCACTGCAACTGTCACATCGACGTGTGGCATTCACCGCAGCTGGGCTTTTCAATTTGGACCGCACTTTGATATTTACGGTGAGAAGTGCTGACGTTTGTTAAGGAAGTAAGGTGGAATTTAATTTGGTACTTACATATTTTCTCTTAACTTTAGATTTGTGGTGCCGCCACTTGCTATCTCATTATTTTGATACAATTTCGCTCCACGCCGTCCCACTGGGAACGAACAAACGCCTCATCTGCAGCCGTTCCAGCTTCAGGATGAACAGATGTGCCTTAAGGATGGAAAAATATCTATTTCAACCTAAAATGTCTCAAATAAGTGTCACTCATGCAAACTAATTATTATAATAATCTTGCAAAATAAATACGTACAAAAGGTTTTATATTGCTTTTCATTAATGTAACAGAATGTATTTACCTTTCAATTACAAGTAACAACATTACAATTATCTCAAGAGTTGTGAACAATACTGCTGACAGTCCTTGTTCAGATATTAGGCCAGGTCGTTGTTCTATCATCATAAAAACATTCCCACAAAGTTTTGAGGAATGTTCTTGTAGTGGGTGTGCTTGGCCAGAGGTACATACATATGTACATACATAAATCCGAGCCAGACCGCTTTCGACGCAAAATGCGTTTTTATTATAGAACATTACCCGCCCGACGTTTCAATGAAATTTTTCAATACATATTACATCCACGCTATAATTAAATCTTAAAGTGTGTCGGGCACAGTATAGACAGTAACCAACCTTCTTGGGTTGTTGTTTAAGCATTTGACAAATCGTGATTTTATTAAAAGAAAATTATAAAT